GGTTTAATGCTAATAAAATAAATTATATTAAACTCTCGAGCGACTTTACTTATAAAGCAAGTTACGTTTTAGACTTGACTTTTTTAAATATCCCGTTTGCTTAAACGATAATTCGCTTTAATCTTTATTCGAGCTTAAACTACGAGACTTAAGTTACGATTATCTTTAGCCGAAAAGTCGTTCTTTTAAAACGCTTTTAATACCGGATATCGGATTAAGATTTCGAGAAATTCGTTTCGCTAATAACGTTAAGCGTAAATTAACTTTTCGATTCGTAAACGATATATTCTATCGAAAAACTCGATTAGCTTACGATCAGCTTAGCTATTGCTTTTAACTTTGCTTTAAAAATTGCGAGATAGCTTGCTCGAGAAAGGCTAACGGTTATATTATAATAAACGGCAAATTGCTAAATACCGTATAAAAAACACTTAATAGCGCGCTTTATAATATACGACGGAGAACCGACTTAAAAAACGCAAGACTAGCTCGTTATAATTAAAAAAGCTAAAAAGGCTTATTAAACTTACGTAATCGACGGAGTGAAATCGGATTAAGACTTATATAAAGTTATAAGCTAACATAAGCTTATTTCGAACTTAAAATCGCTTTTTTTAATAATTAACGATAAAGCTATCGAAGATATTAAAAAAAAAGCGGACGCGCTGCGAAAAAGCATTTTTAAACGGTTTAACGCCGCCGACGACTTTGATTACAACTTACTCGCTAGCTAAAAAAGTATTAGCCGGCTTTTTTAAGATATTACGATATTATTAAAAAAAGTAGAATCTTACGTAATCGAAGTAATAAGCACTTTACTTAAAACGGATAAGATTACCGTACGATTGCTTAAAGCATATTAATAATACGTTTATTATCTTTTTTATAGCTTTTTTAATAAATGCTTAGCTTTTTATTATTTTTCGAATGCGTAAAAGCTCGCTAAAGTTTCGATAATCTTTAAAATAAAGAAAAAAGATAAGACTTTTATCCGCTTTTAACGACCGATTGCTTTGCTTTCGTATATTTTTAAAAGATTAAAGCGCATCGTTGCGAAAAGAATTACGTAAATTACTTTTATTAACGACGTCTTTAGTTTATAATACGCAAGAGCTTTCTTACGGCGCTTTATATTAAACTTCGCTTCGTACTTAATATACGATATCGAATCCGCACTTACAATTAGATATTAAGTTATTATAATTATTATAAACGTTTAAAAAGCTTTCGATACGGTCTTGATCCGTCGCTTTTTTAAACGCATAACGGAGCAAAGCTAACCGTACTTATTACTTAAGCTAATAGAATCTTTTTTTTTAAATCGTAAAGTTAAAGTCCGATTAAAAAAAAAAAATCACGAACATTTACGACGTAAAATGCGATATTCCGTAAAGATCTTCGTTATCACCGGTGCTTTATATGCTTTATTTAACCGAGCTATTTAATTAAGACCGGACATTGCGCTTCGAATACGTTAACGATATTTGCTTATATTGCGTTAACCGCACTTTCGACCGAAACATCGTTATATTTCGAGACGATATTAATTTTATTATTAAGTAAAGTAATACTTATAAGATCGCTTTCGCTTCGAAAAAAATCGAAATAATATATTTCTTTTATAAAAAAAGTACGTATGCTTTTCTTTTCGTAATCGATATTATAATTATTTCGTGCATTACTATAGATCCGAAAAACGAAAATACGCTTGCGATACGATAGCTTAAAGTTTAATTTAACCGTAAGCTAAAGTTCCGCTAATACGTTCGAAAACGAACGGCTAAAGCTAAGAAAGTCGTTTAATATATCCGCAATCTCGTTAAAACAATCTACGGTTTATTTACGGCTTTATTACGCAAAGTAATTATTATTTGCGTGCTGCTTTCGATGCTTTATAATACGAAAGCGTAATACGCAAAGCGCTATCGCTTAATTTGTAAGTCTGAAAGACTAGAAGTTGTTAGCGCTTAAATCGAAAGAATAATTAACTTTATTAATAAAACGATAACTTTCGCGGCGCGCGAAATACTTTCGGTTTAAAAAACGATATTAACGGCAACGCTTTTCCGAAATGCTAAGCTTCTTTTTAACGCTGCAGCTTTAAAAAAAGCTAAAGCTAAGTTTGCAATAAAATTAAAGACGATAAACGATAAGCACTTATTAATCAGCCGAATACTTTTACGGATTCGATAACGCGATCGCGGCGTAAAGATTATTAAGATCTTCGAGATTAAAATCTAAAAACTAAAGACTTTTTTCTTAAACGTTTTTCGCTTTCGCTTCGTCTTTTCGCACTTTATATCGAAAAGCAAACGAGACTTAGCGGACGACAAAACGAAAAAAAAAGCTGCTATCGTATTCGAAGCATAATAGCAATAGCTTTTATTAAAAGATATTACGATCTTTTCGGACGAGTTAAAATAATACAATTAAAGCAACCGATTAATAAGCTACGAGTACGCAATCTATTAAAAACGTTAAGAGATAAGCTATAAGTATAGCTTTATTAACGATTGCTTTTACGTTTTTAACGCAAAAGCGATAAAAGTATAAAAAAGCTTCGAACGAGTAATATACGCTTATCCGACGGCGAAACGGATCTAGCTTTGCATCGATAGTATATTAATCATTTAATATTTTCGCGGAAATGCTTTTTTATTATCGTAATAAGCGTTTTTAAACGTTTAAAAAGTAATAAAGATTCGAAACGTACGAATACGATAATCTTTAAAGCATATAAGCATTAAAAAGAACGAACGAGCGGACAAGCTTGCAGATTTAAAAGCAAAAAAACCGAATTAAAATATTAATTTAGTATCGCAACTTACGATTAGCGGTATTCGTATACTCTTTCGCGATATATAAAATAAAGCACGAAAAGCTTAATAAAGCGCAAGCTTTTTTAAGCTTTTACGCTCGTATCGGAAATAAAGCTTTTTATACTTAATCAAGCTTTTCTCGAAGCTAAAACTCTTACGATATGTCTTATATAAATTACTTACGATCCGAACTACGCATAAAGACTTTACTTAATATTATATTAAGTTTTAATACTACGACGTTAACTTAAAGTATACTTGCGGCAAACGCAAGTTGTGACGAACTGATGAATTCTGACCTTAGAATACAAAGTAAGGAGAGGAAACAAGAAGCTCGGGGAGCTCAAGAAGGTTTATATACATGGCCACAAGCGCTAGGCCTGAATGGGTGATCAGCTGACTGCAAGTAACAAAGCAGGCTGTCATACTACCCCTTTAGAGAGCGGTCCTAGCTCTCTCAAAAGTACTTGACAAAGGAAGGAAAAAATAAAAAAATTCAGTCGTGAACTATGGTTTACGAATGGAATTGCTGAAAAAAAAAAAAAAAACCAAAAAATACGCCGAAGCTACAGATCGCGATAATCGTCAAGGTCAGCGTCGTAACTTCTAGAAGCGTTCCATTCCGCTAAAATTTCCTCCTTTTCGTCCGAGTCAAACTCGCTTAAACCTTTATTTTCCTTAACAGGTCGGTCCGAAAAAAGGTCTTAAAGAACTCGCTTCTTTGTTAAAGGCTTAGCTAAAAGAAGAGTATAGCTAGCTATCTAATAGTCGATTGTACCGCAACGGGTATAGCGATTTGATTTGCGCTAAGCTTCGCGCTAATCGAAAGTGCTATAAAGAGCATGCTAAAGAGTAAGGTATCGGTCTTCTAATAGCTGAATTTGGTCAGCCTCGTGAGCGTCGATAAGCTTTATAGCGCCGAGCTCGTTAGCGTGCTGCAATTGCTCGAGTTGTTAAGCGCGGTCGATTGCTAAAAGGTCTATTAAGTCGCCGAAAGGAAGGCTTGTTAACGTACGAAGGCGGTTTTAAAAAAGGGCCGAAGGAGCCGAAGAACGAGAAAATCCGTAAGACGGGCCGAGAAGGCCGGAAAAGCCGGAAGAGCGTCCGAGCTGCTAAGTGACGTGTACGTATTCGGTATACGTAATTGAGAGAATCAATTGGCTATTCAAACGGGTTCGTATAATTGAGTTCAAACTATTGCGGAACGCAATAATCTTATTAGCGTCGAGCTAAGTCTGACAGCGAGTAGCGTGCAAAAGTCGTTCGAAGCGTAAGACGTAAATATAAAGAGCGTCCGTACTTTGCTTGCAAGCAAGCAGCTTATCCTTAGCTTTTTGAATTTTGTTTAGATTGTCGTAAGCGAAAGCGAGCTGATCTAAAAGAGTATTATAATCCTAATTGCCGGAGTCTTAAGCTGAGGCTAATTGAGTCAAAACTATTGCTTAAGGACCGGGTTCCATATTGAAGTAAACGTAATAGAACTGCGTAGTAAGTCCGCTAAGAGCTTCACCGTCGACGAGAAGCTTAGCCTTGATTAAAGAGAGCTAAGTATCTTACCGCTGAACCGTACCGTTTGTGACGAACTGATGAATTCTGACCTTAGAATACAAAGTGAGGAGAGGAAACAGGAAGCTCGGGGAGCTCAGGAAGGTCTATATATATGGCTGCAGGCGCTAGGCCTGGACGGGTGATCAGCTGACTGCAGGTAACAAGGCAGGCTGTCACACTACCCCCTTAGAGAGCGGTCCTAGCTCTCTCAAAAAGTACCTGACAGAGGAAGGAAAAAATAAAAAAATTCAGTCGTGAACTATGGTTCACGGGTGTAATTGCTGAAAAAAAAACTAAAAAAAAATACGCCGAGGCTATAGATCGCGATAATCGTCAGGGTCAGCGTCGTAGCCTTTAGAAGCGTTCTATTCCGCCAAAATTTCCTCCTTTTCGTTCGAGTCAAACTCGCTTAAACCCTCATTTTCCTTGACAGGTCGGTCCGAAAAAGGGTCTTAAAGAACTCGCTTTTTTGTTAAGGGCTTAGCTGGAAAGAAGGTACAGCTAGCTATCTAGTGGTCGATTGCACCGCAACGGGTATAGCGATTTGATTTGCGCTAAGCTTCGCGCTGATCAAGAGTGCTGTGAAGAGCATGCTAGAGAGTAGGGTATCGTTCTTTTAACAGCTGAGTTTGGTCAGCCTCGTGAGCGTCGATAAGCTTTATAGCGCCGAGCTCGTTGGCGTGCTGCAATTGCTCGAGTTGTTGAGCGCGTTCGACTGTTGAAAGGTCTATTGGGTCGCCGGAAGGAGGGCCCGTTGACGTGCGAGGGCGGTTTTGAAGAAGGGCCGAAAGTGCCGAAGGTCGAGAAAATCCGTGGGACGGGCCGGAAGGGCCGGAAGAGCCGGAAGAGCGTCCAAGCTGCTAAGTGACGTGCACGTATTCGGTATACGTAGTTGAGAGAGTCAATTGGCCATTCAGACGGGTCCGTATAGTTGAGTTTAGACTATTGCGGAACGCAATAATCTTATTAGCGTCGGGCCAGGTCTAACAGCGAGCAGCGTGCAAAAGTCGTTCGAAGCGTAAGACGTAAATATAGAGAGCGTCCGTACCTTGCTTGCAAGCAAGCAGCTTATCCTTAGCTTTTTGAATTTTGTTTGGATTGTCGTAAGCGAGAGCGAGCTGATCCAGAAGAGTATTGTAGTCTTAATTGCCGGAGTCTTGAGCTAAGGCCAATTGAGTCAAAACCATTGCTTAGGGACCGGGTTCTATATTGAAGTAAACGTAGTAGAACTGCGCAATGGGTCCGCCAAGAGCTTCACCGTCGACAAGAAGCTTAGCCTTGATTAAGGGGAGCTAGGTATCTCACCGCTGAACCGTATCGTTGAACTTATCGAGATCAGGAAGGACGCATTTGCGCTGGCGAGGGGCCATTCGTAATTGCTTTACGAAGGACTCTAATTGAGCGATTCTCGTAAGGGGGGAAGGGCCGTCGTCTTCGTGAGAGGACATGGTGGTGGAAATGGGGGGGGGCGTTTGAGTGTCGGAAACGCCAGGAAAAGAGTGGGGAAGAGAGTTCGTCTTGCAACCGAAGTGCAAAAATTGAGAAGGGAGCTCTTTTAGGTCGGAAGAGCTAAGGAAGAGGTGAGGTCGTAAAAAAGACAATAATCTGTAAGCAATAAATGAAGACCGTGGAGCACTTAACAAGTAACTTACTCCGTTCTTGATAATAATCAATAAGCCGTAATCTGTAACAATAAGCAATAATCAATAAGCTATAATACGACGACCTAATCGAAGGACTTTGTATAATATGACGAACTGATGAATTCTGACCTTAGAATACAAAGTGAAAAGAGGAAACAGGAAGCTCGGGGAGCTCAGGAAGGTCTATATACATGGCTGCAGGCGCTAGGCCTGGACGGGTGATCAGCTGACTGCAGGTAACAAGGCAGGCTGTCACACCGTTGAACTTATCGGGATCCGAAAGGACGCATTTGCGCTAGCGAAGGGCTATTCGTAATTGCTTTACGAGAGACTTTAATTAAACGATTCTCGTAAGAGGGGAAGGGCCGTCGTCTTCGTAAGAGGACATAGTGGTGGAAATAGAAGGGGGGCGTTTAAGTGTCGGAAACGCCAAGAAAAAGAGTAAGGAAGAGAGTTCGTCTTGCAACCGAAGTGCAAAAATTAAAAAAGGAGCTCTTTTAAGTCGGAAGAGCTAAGGAAGAGGTAAGGTCGTAAAAAAGACAATAATCTGTAAGCAATAAATGAAGACCGTGGAGCACCCAACAAGTAACTCACTCCGTTCTTGACAATAATTAATAAGCCGTAATCTGTAATAATAAGCAATAATCAATAAGCTGTAATACGACGACCTAATCGAAGGACTTTGTATAATATAACGAACTGATGAATTCTGACTTTAGAATACAAAGTAAAGAGAAGAAACAAGAAGCTCGGGGAGCTCAAGAAGGTCTATATACATGGCCACAAGCGCTAGGCCTGAATGGGTGATCAGCTGACTGCAGGTAACAAAGCAGGCTGTCACACAAGTCCTTTTTGCATTTAGCTTTTTGCCGATTTACGCAACGACGCTTTTTTTTTTAGCTTTATAAAACTCGATCGCGGACTTTTTCGAATACGATTCCGAAAGCTTACGATTTTTTTAAAAGTCTCTTTAATAATCCGGCCGATTTTTAAGCTTTCTTGACTATTACGGAGTTTTATTTTAAGCATTACACTCGATAAAAGTGCTACTCTAGCTAATTGATATTGCTTCGATAAAAAGAACGAAGTACGCTCCGCTTTACTTAAGCTATAAAGGTTTATTAAATCAACCGCGTTATAAAACTAAGACTTTAAAATAGCGTAATGCGCTTTCGAAAGAATTCTTTTTAGCATTAGTATATTATATTAAGTTTTCTTTTAAAGTTTAAGCTTTCGTATTTACTTTTTCTTTTGTATTCGGCTGACCTCGGTCCGGCTTTGATTCTTGTCGCTACGCGACGTAAATAGCTCGCTTTTAGCTAGCTATAGCAGTTTGTATATACTTCATTTTCTCTTTTGTAGTTTTCCTTTAATAAAAGGTTTCTTTTTATATGATCTATCTTATTTATAAAGGAAAAGCGCATGCGATAATAGCTTTCGCTACAACACTTTGAATTGCTTTTTAAGGCCTTTTTATATGTAACCCTTTAGCTTAGCACGTCGCCGTACCTTATAAGAGGTCCCAGGGCGGCAAGCTTCGCCTGCTACCCGCCCGACGTAAATAAATACAATAATAACAACAACTACCTTCGTGTATATAAGCCTCAGCTTCCTTCAACCTTTATACTCGATAGTTATTCATTCTAAGTTATTAGTTTAAGATCTTCCTGAGCTCTGTTTGATCCCTCGCGCTCCCGTGAATCCTTCAGGTAATCGCTTAAGATCTTTATACGAAGATATATATAAAAGGCGGCTGCGGAAGCGGCCGCGTTACATGACCTCGAATAATAAAGCATAAACCAATTTAATTAGCCAAGAAAATTAAAACAGTAATACTATTTTCTTCTTTCGAAAGACTCCGTTTTTGCAATTGTACTCAATTCGTTATTCATGGTTTGCCGGTAATAATAAACGTCAAATGAATAAAGCTTCTTTTGTGTATTGCAATAGGTAACAAAATAAGGTTTTCCTTTAGTACTGAAGATGAATTATTATTAGAATAAGAAATTCTTATACTATAAGGTCTATGCTATTGCTGCTAAGCAACTCTTGAAGAGATGGATAGTGACTGCTAGTATGGAGGGGAAGAGCTCCGACATATACCCAACGTCAAATCAAGAGATATATATATATATAGCTATGGTAGAATCGTAGGTGAGAAAGAAAGGAGAAGGAGGACGATCGAAGACACTCGAATGTGTGCTATATATACGTGTATTGTATTATATAATGATATAATGGTAGTGGTTTAAAAAAGAACCAACTATTCGTTTATATAAGAGCTTGCACGTAACTTAACCACGTGCTTAACAAAGCTAGAGCATACAGCGCACTTACGTGACAAAGGTGCTTAGCATTAATATTATATATATAAACAAAATAAATATAGACTTTTAATTTTACTATATACGTCTTCCTTTCGAATCAGACTCGCTTTCGAATTACTTTTTATCGAAGTGATAAAGTTGGGTTTGCAAAACGAGCATATAGCCGAATTGCATAATCTGTGACGACACGCCAGGTCTCTTGGACGCACCTTATATGCGCCAAGCTACTTCCTTCCTTTTTTCTTTCGTATTCTTCGTATTTTCTTATTCTTCGCTTTGTGACGACCTTAAGCGATTACTTAAAGGAACTCGCGGGAGCGCGGAGGTTCATATAAGAGCTCAAAAGAATCTTAAAATAATAACTTAGAATCAACAACTATCGAGTATAAAAATCGGAGGTAGCTAAAGTCTATATATACGAAAGTAAAAGCGTTAAAGACTCGTAAACTATAGTTTATAAGTTAAAAGCGAAGAATAAAAGAATACGAAGAATACGAAAGAAAAAAAGAAAGAAGTAGCTTAGCGTATATAAAGTGTATTTAAGAGACTTAGCGTGTCGTTATATTACTTTCCCGTCCGAAAAAAGCTCGTCTTCGAGCGTTTATCTATTGCTTTATTATTGCTTAAGTGATCGTAATTATCAATACCGTTCGAATAAGCTTTAATCTAATCGAAAAGCTTCGCAAGGAAGCCGAAGAGCTCTTTGTGTTTTAAGTAGAAGTCACGTATTTTAAAAAGAGCGTATATAAAGTCGGAGGCGGAGTATTAAGTAAAGTTAATATCGCGGCCGAGCTAAAAAGCGCGATATTTAAAGTGCTTTTTAATTTAGCGTACGGCTAAGATGTTCTTTATTTTGTACTTAAGTTCGCTAATGATATTAATCGAGTTAAGTGCAAGAATGATTTGCTCGGAAGTAAGATTATTAAGAGCTCTTCGTAATCGTTTAAAGTAAAAGATTAAGTGAATTTTTATTAACTCGAAAAGCTTGAGTTTAAAGCTGTTATAAATATTATCGATAACTTCGAACGGTTTGTTCGTAAAGTAATCGAGCTTCTTAAACGGTCGAAAAGTAAAGAACGAGCGCATGTTTAATTAAACTTTATTATTAACGTCGAAGTCAATCGAGCGCTTTAATTTATTAGCTTGTTTAGTTATACGGTTTTAAGCGCGCTAAAAGTGCTTTTTAACGAGGTTTTAAGCTTCGAAGTAGCGGTTAGCGTAAGCGCGAGCTTCGTTTTAATTAAGTTTGCGAAAAAAGGTTTAGTCGTTAAGTCGTTTTAAGCTTTAATTTTAAGTGGTCCGAAAAGCGTAGCCGTAAATTACTTTAAAAGAGAAAAGACCGTCGAAAGAATCGTAAAAGAGCGTTAATTAAACGAAGTCTATAATAAAAAGAAACTCGTTTTAATCGTCTTAATAATAGCTTATAAAAGAACGGAAGCGCTTTTATAAGTATTAATTATAAATTTCGGTTTAACCGTTAATCTTAAAGTATGCGGCGGTATTAAAAGTCAATTTAATGCCGAAGATCTTATTAAATTCTTTTTAAAACTCGGACTAGTATTAAAGTCTTTTATTAAAAGTCAATATTAAAAGAGCTTTGAAATACTTATAAATATAATAAACATAAAGCTTAGCGAAGCTTTTAGCGTCGATAAACTTATAATAAAAGATCGAGATTGCTTGCTTAAAAAAGCGGTCGATTATTATAAAAACGTTATCGTAGCTGTATTTGTTTTTATTAAAGCTATAAAAATCTATAATAAAGTACTTTTAAAAGCGTAAAAAGATCGAAAAAAGTTAAAGCAAATCAAGTTTTTTATCGCGAAGCATTAAAGTTCGTTTGCAAGCGTAGCAATTGCGATAATATTAATTAACGAATCTAGTTATACCGTGCTAATAGTATTATGCTATAAAAAGCTTATAGGTTTTGCGAGAGTTAAAGTATATTATAAATATTTAGTCGTAGACTTTTTAGACGAATAACGAGCGCAAGTTTTAAACGTTAAAAACTAATAAACGGCTATTATAAAGTAGCAAGTCGCTTTTTATAATGAGTTTAGCTCGTAAACCGTAGTTTACGAGTAAAGACTTAGCTTTAAAAGCTTGAATTCGAAATGCTATAAAATTAAAAGCGGTTCGATTAGCTTTTAAAACTTAATTAATAACTTAAAATATCGATAAAAGCTTCGCGATCTTTTTAATAATGACGGCGGTTTTTAAAAGCGTAAGCTAGCGTAGCTCTTCGATTAAAAGTCGTAAGTTAACGTTATCGGCGCGAAGCAGCGTTTGCAAGCGTTAAGTGCGCTTAAAATTGTTTTAAGAAAAAAGCTCTTTAATACGACGTATTAACGCGTTAGTTAAAAGATTATCTTTACTTAGTTTGTACGTAATAATAAAATTATAATCGGAAAAGAGCTTTGCTTAACGTGCTTAACGAGCGTTAAAAGTCTTAAAGGTTATAAAGTACTTTAAAGCTTT